GAAACATCCAAAGCATAACAGGAGGGACCAGTAGATGGCGGAATGATTACGTTGTTGGACTCCCATGTAGGCAACTGTGGTTTGAGTCCCGGACTCGGGGGCTTAAAACTCACTCTGGGCGTGTGTGCATGTGTGCTCAAAATCTCAAGAGGAGAATGAAGGAGAGGGGATTATGGCATGGCCATCCTCCCAGGAGGTGATTTCTTGCTTCTGTCTGTCTCTCCAGTAAGCACATTCACCCTATAGCAAAAATCTCTCTTAAAAAAATGATAACAGGATAGAAACCCACTACCAAGACTTAGCCGATTTTAATACTCTGCCTTAATTGCCTCTGAGAACTTTCTATTTATTTGCCAGACAGACAGAGAGAGACAGAGAGACAGAAAGCGAGAAATCACCCCCCAGGGGTGATGGTCACGCCGCAATCCCTTCTCCTCCATTCTCCTCTCGGGATCTTGGGCACGCACGCACACACGCCTGGCGTGAGTTTTAAGATACAGGTCAAGTATCCCTTATCTGGAACAGTTGAAGAAGAGAAGTGTTGCAGATTTTAATTTTTTTTTTCAGATTTTGTAATATCTACATATTCATAATGAGAAATTATGGGGATGGGATCCAAACCTAAGCAGGAAATTTATTTATGTTTCATAGACACTCTATACACAGGGCCTGAAGGTACTTTTGACCAATATTTTTGTAATGTGGCATTTTGACTGTGACCCATTTGTTACATAAGGTCAGGTTGGAATTAATTTTTTCTTTTTTTTTAAGTTTTTGCTATAGGGTATGTTCATTCACTGGAGAGAGACAGAGAGAGAAAGGGAGAGGGAAAGTAAGAAATCGCCCCCTTGCGGGGATGGCCATGCTGCATTCCTTCTCCACTCCCCTCTCAGGATTTTGGGCATGTACACACACAGGCCTGGTATGTCCTTTAAGCCACCAGGTCCAGGTCTTGAACTGCAGTCAACCATGTGGGATCTAGTGCCTTAACCACCACAGAATCTTCTGGCCCAACATCAGGTTGGAATTTTCTGCTTATGATATTATGTTAGCCTTCAAAAAATTACAGATTTTGGAGGATTTCAGATTTCAGATTTCAGATTTTCAGATTAGGGACGTTCACCACATACCTTATGACTGTGTTGCTTTTAGGTTTTCATCATAGGGTGCGTATGCTCATCAAAAAGAGACAGAGAGAGAAAGGGGGAAATCACCCCCTGGAAGGATGGCCACACTCCAGTCCCTTTTCTTGGGATTTTGGGCATGCACCTACATGTGCCCGGCATGATTTTCAAGTCAAAGAGTCTGGGACTCAAACCATAGTCAGCCATGTTGGAGTCCAGCACCTTAACCGCCACGCCACCTACCGGTCCCCTAAATGGTTATTTTCTAAATGTCCTTTTGCATATTGATCAGTGAGCCACTTGAATATTTTGATGATGTGTTACAATACCTGCTCTCCTTTAATAGAGGAACTAACCAAAACAATTTTAAAAAGCTAAAATCCAAACCTCACAATACCTTTTCTTAAGACCATTTTTAAGAGCAGTTTAAGGTTTGGGGGGGAGCAGAGAGTGTAGCAATTACGTCGCTGGACTCCCGTGTGGCTCACTGACTGCAGTTTGAATCCTGGACCCGATGGCTTGAAACTCAAGCTGGGTGTGTCCGTGCAGCCAAGATCCCAGGAAGAGAATGAAGGAGAAGGGACTGCGGTGGGGCCATCCTCCCCAGGGGGTGATTTCTCACTTTCTCTCTCACTGTTTCTGTCTCTCTCTCCAGCGAGTGCACACACCCTAAGGCAAAAATCTCTTAAAAGAAAAAGAGCACTTCAAGGTTCACAATAAAACTGAGAGGACAATATGGAGCTCTCCCATACACACCCTGCACCCACACACGCACGGCACCCCGTTGTCATCCCACCAGAGTGGCGCTTTTCTTATCACTGATGCATGACACTGACACAGTATCACCCAAGGCCCATAGGTTACATTAGGGTACACAGAGCATTTTCACTGCTCCCCGAGAAAACCCTCTGTGCTTTACCTACTACCTATCCCCCTAGCCCGAACAATCCTTGGGGAAAACGGGCCCTTTTACTGTCCCCATAGTTTGGGTTTTTGCAGAACATAAAATGGTTGGAATCATATAGTTCATAGTACGTTCAGATTTGCTCTTTCATTTAGTAATATGCATTTAAGGTTCCTCCACGTCTTTTTGTGCATTAACAGCACGCTTCTTTTTGGCTAAATTGTATCCCACTGACTGGATACACCACAGTGCATTTGCCCATTCACTTGCTGAAGCACATCTTCATGGCTTCAAAGTTTTTAGCAATTATGAATAAAGGTGCTGCTAATATCCATGTGCAAGTTTTTGTACACACGTAGGTTTTCAATTTGGGGGGGGGTTGCAAATACCAAGAAGTGCAATTGCTAGGTCATATGGTTAAGAGTGTGTTTTTTTGGGGAAGAAATTGCTAAACTGCCTTTCATTTTGCAACTCCCTAGCAATGAATGAGCGTTCCTGTTGCTCTACATCTTTGCCAATATTTGGTGTGTCGGTGTGGCCCCTGTACACTAAATCCCACTTGAACCCCTCCCTGCAAACCCAGATTCCTACAACCACCAAAAAGATTCCACATACGTTTCTTTTTTATTTTTTTTTTTAAGGTTTTTCCTATAGAGCGCATGCACTCACCAGAAAGAGAGACAGAAAGCGAGAAATCACCCCCCAGGGGGGATGGCCATGCTGCAATCCCTTCTCCTCCGTTCTCCTCTCGGGATCTTGGGCATGCACGCACACGTGCCCGGTGTGAGTTTAAGCCACTGGGTCCAGGACTCGAACTGCAGTCAACTACATGAGAGTCCAGCAACATAGCCATTATGCTAACTGCTGGTCCCGACCCTACATACATTTCTAAATGCCCTCAGGTGGTATACTACCCTGATCAAAAACTACCCATATCATGTTAATTAGCAATGAATCTAACCTATGATGGCAACTTGCCTGGTCTGGTTCACCGAAGCTAAGGATCTCATACACCAGGAGTATCAGACACAGTTAAGGTGAGACAGTTTATAAAGATTAGCAGAAAAGAACAGACAATGGAAATAAAATGGAAACTCACTGAGCTGAGAAAGCCCAAATAGCCACTGCCCCAATATAACCTAACAAACCAGAAAAAGACATAACGCTGCAAATCTTTCATTAAGTGCCCCTTCCAAAGACGGAACTAACTCCAAAAACAATCAGAGTCCTGAAGCATCTTAGGCGCCTCAGACCACTCCCAACATGGTCCAACCCGGGATCTGCGACTGGGACTAGGGCCACTCCAATACCCGCAAAGAAACTAAGATGCGGAGACTGTTATGGTATTCCTTGTGAACCTGCAACTGCAAATAGGTATTTATTTACTTTTTAAATAAGAGAAATGCTTCAGACCTACAATGGATGGTGATTATCTTGCTGAAAAACAAATTCATTGGAGAAACCAGCTGGGGTCTTCACACCTGCCATGATTCACTGGAGCAAAATCAACCTGAAAAACTAAGACTTTAGGAAGTATAAGCTTCACCAGTCTCTTGAGATATACTCTTAGAAAAAAAAAAGCTAAAATTGTTCTCAATGCAATGAAAATGAACCAAGCAATGGGAATACATCTATTTGATAGTATGCCCTATTGGTTTATTTTGAGCTGACACTGCTAAGTTGAAGACTCTAGACTTAGATTCCTCTGCTCCCTGAAAATGATTTCTTCTAAGTATCTTTTTTTTTTTTTTTTTTTTTTTTTTTTTTGGGG